AATGACACGCGCCATATGTGACATCATTCCTATTTTATAAGATCTCGCGCCTTTCATCGACTACAAGTACCGCTTTCTAGTTTATAACATCTTGCATCTTTTCATCATCAGCTACAAGTACCACCATCTAGTAAACACTGCAAGAACTAAACGAGAGGCGGCTACATACAGGAGACGGTATTGCCATCTAGTGAACACTGCAAGAACTAAACTAGAGGTGGCTACATACAGGGGACGGTACCGCCATCTAGTGAACACTGCAAGAACTAAACTAGAAGTGGCTACATACAGGCTACAGGGGACGCACAGCCCACGCCCTAAGGAGCTTCGCCCCTAAAACATTGTACTACACTGCCTTCACAATTACGTACCAGTAAAAACAAAAAGAACTAATAAGCATAACCCACGGATAACGCGAGACGTTATTCATGCCAAACGCAGGGTTAAAAGACTTAGGAAATTGCTAAAGCATAAACCTAATCCTTCTAGGAATTCACCTTGCACTGCCATAGTTCAAATGAAATCTAAAATTAAGATGGCGAAATGTCACTATTTTAAAAACGTTCTATCGAGCTTTATTCAAAACGCACCAAAAAATTCTGGGATTATCTTAACCCTAAAAAACGTACTGACAAACCGATCACTGGAACAAACCGCACAACAGCAGAGTCCTTAAACACGTACTTTACATCTGTTTTCACTATCGATTACGGTAAACTACCCCATATTGACTCATGTGACGAAAACCACCTCGAATCAGTCTCTGTAACTGAAGCCTTATCCATCCGGAGTCGCCGGATGGATAAGGCTGCACAGCGGAGAGAGCGCAAGGCGGCAGCAGCTCGCGCTCGCAGACAGAATCCCAATGTGCGAGCGCGCGAGGCAAGGGACATCGCAAGCCATCCATCGTCTAAGAACAAATAAAAGTTGATTTGTGTATATACACACACAGCGTTTCTCACGTCTTTACATGATGATCGACTGGGCGAATTACACGAAAGATTCACAGTTTACCGATGAATCCCTCCGGAGCTTCGCCCATTCATCATCATTCACCCCGTGAATATGCCGTAATTTTTTAAAATAATTGCCACACTGTATCTATATCGGCGGAGGGATGACCCGAATCATTTACGAATGACTCTAATTGAAAGGAAAGATAATCAATTATAGTTTTATCGTCAGCGTTTACGAAGTCTGCTAATGTGGTCCGTGATACTGAATCAGTTTTACTTCTTTGAATGTGGGAGGTACATAGAACTAGTTTGTGGTCTGATATACCAGTCATTATTTCAATTTTAGAGTCATGTGTTGGGAAATGGTCGCTTGTAAAAATCAGGTCAAGTATGTTTGATTTCGTTCCTTGAACGCGTGTTGGCTCTTTCACGATCTGGCTGAGGATAAAAGACAACATTAAATCAAAAAGTATATCCGAGCGTGCGCATTGGACTCGTAATATTTCCCAGTTAATAGTCGGGAGATTGAAATCCCCCAACAAGATAACCCTTGCACCAGCAACATGTCGTTGCATGTAGCCATGCAGGGCTTGCAAACTATCTGTTCCGGAATTGGGGCTTAGATAAACACATCCTACAACAACGTTACGCGAACCAAACATCAGTTTACAGAATATTGCCTCTACATCGAAAGCTTCAGGCATAACAGTGTAAGGTATTTTTTTGTTAATAAGGATGGCCACGCCTCCTCCACGTGTTGCTCTATCTTTCCGTACGATAACATAGCCGGGCGGTGTAATTTCAAAATTCCTAACGTCATGTGTGAGCCATGTTTCGGTTATTGCTAAGAGGTCGAGTTTCATGCAAAGCAATAACGATTCAACAGCCTCGGATTTATTTAGAATTCTTCGTGCGGTCACATTGGCGAAGACTATGGTTTGGCGGGTTGATTTGGGTGCCGAGGGCGTAGTGACGGTGCTTCGACTCGCTGCTTTTTTTTTTCAATTGAAGAAGCACTCGAGTTGTTACGTACAGCAACTTTGTCTTTTTTTGCATCATCCCATTGGTACCAGACATTGTTTATTCGTAGTTTATCATAGACTAGTGAAACTTTGTCCCATGATTCTTTGTTAGCCTTTGCACAGTTCCACAAGTTTCTTCTTAAGTCCCGTACCCACACCAAGAAATCTTCGCTAACCGATAAGTCTGTCACCACTAGTAACATATGGTGGTCATACAGACATGTTATTCCATACTAAGTTTGGTATCTATACCAATATCCAAACAGCCAGGAGAGTTCAAAGTCGTAGGCGGCTAGATAGATAGACAAATAGATAGATAGATAGATAGATAGATAGATAGATAGATAGATAGATAGATAGATAGATAGATAGATAGATAGATAATAGATAGATAGATAGATAGATAGATAGATAGATAGATAGATAGATAGATAGATAGATAGATAGATAGATAGATAGATAGATAGATAGATAGATAGATAGATAGATAGATAGATAGATAGATAGATAGATAGATAGATAGACGCCTAAAGTCGCCGAAGTTCACTAAGAAATGCTTCGCATTTAAAAACCGAAGCCTGGTTCTCATTACAAACTAGTGCACTGTGTTCTTCGGTAGGGAAGCAATAGCATACGGGAGATTTCTCATTCAAGCCTAAAAGCTTTTTTTTTTGTGATAACTGGAAGGCTGCAGTGTGATTGAATTAGCTGAGGTGGAGCTTCTGAGTAGGTAGACGTTTATTTTGGAAAGTAAATCGTATTGTACCAAAGTGTAATTACAGAGCACAAGCTAACGGAATATACTCAGATTTCGTACACACGTAACACAATACACATGTAACGTAATGCAGTGGCTGCACAAATGTCTTACGGAGGAAGCTGCTGTAGCCCAGGCCACTGAGGCCGTATCTGTAGCTTAGACCGTAGCTTTCGAGTCCACAGCCGTAAGCAGCAAGACCGCAGCCAAGATCATAGCCAAAGCTGGGAGCATGATGCCTGGTTGGCGCTGGAGCAACTGGTGCGTAGTAGGCAGCGTGAAATATGGGAGTATCCGAACGGGTAGCCAGCGTATCCGGCAAAGACACAAGTTGCCCGAGCAAGGAGAAGGCAGGCATAATTCTGCTAGTAAAAAGAAATATCATTCTTTGCGTTACGTGGATCTTCATATTGATCTCTTGTAGAAGTATATAACGTTTAGTAAAACAAACTGAATAAAATACAACCATTACTGAGCTTTCTAGAAACTTGTTGTAGTTTTATTTTGGGGCAATATAATAATTTTCTTGTATTTTTTGTCCCATAAAATATCGATGGAAAGCAATGCGCACTCGCTGTGTTCAAGATACTGTAATTTACTTCATTATTCATGACACTCTTTAAATTTTTTGTGCCCTTTTGTTGAAAATGTATGCTCTCTTGAGCTTTGAATGGTGACCAGTAGACTACGATGATTTAGAGCTAAAGCTACTCACTCTTGCAAAGGAACAAAATATTACCATAGTGGAATGTGTCCTAGTGGCCCTGAAGATGAGCTATACTCATGTATCTAATGATATTGCTGCCATTTTATATGCTGAGACAAATCACTGAAATCAGGGATGATTTGCATGCATCCCAGCCTTTTCCTGAAAAGTGTATATTTGACCTGACGCAAGTGCCTATTTAAACTAACGTTATGAAACAACATGGCTTGATGTTTGTTCACACTAAATTGTCCTTGACACCGACTATATATACAAGGCGTATTAGAGTGACAATTGCAGCTGACGGATGTGAATACACACGAATGTTTCATTACGCGGTGAATATGAATATTCTTGAACTCGCGTTCTCGCTAGACACGAGACACTTGCAACAAGATGTTGAGAGGTAGTCAGAGTCAGCAGAACGTTTTTTACGCAACGCCTGTACGTGTCCAGGTACACTTTTCTAAAGCCGACTTCGCCCCGGAATTCAAACCATCCACGGTATCCGTATGATTGGCACGTTTCGACGCTGATTATGGTTTCTGGGCAACTAAAACTTCCGACAGTAACGGCCCACAATACTGATCACAACGTGTGCCATGCAAGAAGGATAATAAGCAGATACATAAAATCTTACGGCAAATCTTCATTGGAAGTGTGTCCAAGTGTGCTTACGGCCGACTTTTTTGTTTTGTTTCTGCTCGACTATCACTATTATTCATTGCATGCCACAAATAAAACCTAAATGATATACTCGCACAATATTGTTGTCACAGTGCGAAATCCAATATTCCAGTAAGCATCCTCACGGGGTCTTGGTTTCTCGTGTTTTGAAAAATAAAAATGAGTTGTATTGAAAGGAAAAAAAGTATATCTCGTACTTGCATCTTTCGAAACAAAGGTGCGTTTACTCTTTGATCAAGGTGAACTGTGCTTACGTAATATGAAAGCCATCGTATGGATGTGAAGTTACACATGCAGTAAATATGAACATTTTTAAACTGGGGTTGTCACTGGAGCCAACGCCTTGTCAACTGAGATTGTCTATATCAAAGCTGAAACACGGTGAGCATTCAAGGAATACGAGACCCCTTTTAGAAACACATACTACTGTCTCCAGCGACAGCCTCATCGACCAGCTTATGCATGCATCCAAATATCCAGGAGCCTTAAAAACGCTCCAATGAGCTTAACACGTTATTTGTAAAACCTGTAGGAACGCCACTAAACGAAATACTCTGCGGTGAAGACGTGACCAGTATAAATTACAGAAGCGAGATAGGCATATCCAGTGGCCTAAACTGTGTCAACATCCCAGTTCAATGCAAACCAAAGCAAGCATTAGACCATCGTAAACTTCTAACGCGTTTTCTGCGCGTGAAACGATTCGTACCGCAGCAATTTCATAAAAAAGGGGGTTCGATTCTTATACTATATTTAAACTTCTAGATAGCTATCACATTGAAACCTGTTGGGGGCTTTTACAGTAGTGCGATGTTCGACGATGGATGAAGTAGTATAAAAGGACTGCAAGCGTAATAACACTATCGTAAGAAGTCTCGTCTCCAAAACACGCCCCTTTACAAAATCATGGTAAGGTAATTCTTTTTATGTAGTTGATATAATTCAGCTTTTTTGCTAGACACGTTCTGGAAATGATTTGCTTGTTATTCTAGGCCTCACAACCACTTATTTATGCGCCGGTGGGGCAACAATTTCCTTTACTTGTGTGTATTATTTTGCCACCTAGGAATGCTTACACATTCCTAGGTGGCAGTATAAGCTTAGGTCATTGCGTGGGCGTGTTAGTGTGGGTTTCATTGGCAATACCAATTTCGGGCATAAAGAAATTGAGAGAATTCGAATAATGCAACACAACCTCTATAGTGAATTGTTCAGTAGCTGCATAGCTCGATAGTACTCTGTATATGAAAAGGGACCTTACTGGGAGCAGTAGGTACAGACGCATAGAAAAAAAAAGAGGATCTGTTGCTTTTATTGCTGAGATAAAAACTTGTTCAGTAACGAATGCTTCATTTGACGCTTTATTGTTTATTGTGTTATCTTACAAGTGTCTCAGCCTTTTTCCTACCCCTTTCGATCCCAATGTAATATGTCACACCTTTCTGACCAACGCTGGCATGGACATTTACACCATCAACCCGCTGTTTGTTACACCCGTGTTCATGACAAAAAATATTAAATTGCAGATCCGCTCTTGCATCCTCCTGTGTCTGGCCAGTTTTGCCTTTGCAACCTTTGTCGGCTTTCCCTTCGGCCACCCACTGGCCACGCCAGCATATTCCGTTTACCACAATCAACTGGCAACGACATCTACTGTGCATCACCTCCCGGCTTTTCATCGCGGCCTCAGATACGGAGTGCCAGCTTTCGGCGTCTACTTTGGGTAGCTGAAGTCTAAGCCACGTATGCGGTGCTCGTGTTCTCGGCCACCCAGTGCTCCTCTGAAAGACAAGTGATTGACTTTAATTTCTTACCTCTTGGAAAGAGAATAAGTGGTTTTTAAAATCTCCAACTAAAGCACTCGTAGCAACTTCTATCATGTGCTCAGATAGGAGCGCTGGTTTTCCTTACCACCTTAATTATGCAGCTATTTTCAGCTCTGATAACTGGGTTAACACTTATTTTACATATTTTTGTTGTCCTTCAGCAAAAACACCTTCGTATATTTTGGAGCTGCTCGGGGTTACCTGTCATTGTTATGAAACACTAATATGCATAAATCTAAAGCAATGTGGCGCAGTCTCGGAAGATAACAGTGCTTTGCGATGCTTGCACCAGACAGTGGAAGTTGTAAAATAATATGTATACGTAAGGTAGGTAGTATACACGGAGCCGAACCACGAGAATAAAGTAATCAGAAAAGTAAGGATGGGATGGAGTCCATTCGGGAAGCATTCCCACATTATGAATGGTACTCTACCACTATTACTCAAGAAGAAGGTATAACGGCTGCATCTCACCAGTACTGACCTACGTAGGGTTCAACACCAGTTGAGGACAACGCAGCGAGTGATGGAAATGAAAATGAAAGCAACCTTAAGAGTCAGGAATAGAGCACGTGGGTGAAAGAACAGATGGGGGTTAAGGATATCATTGTTGACATAAGGAAGAAGAAATAGACATAGGTACGCACGAATATAATGCGTAGGCAGGATAACCGTTCGTCAATAATGCCAAGTGACTAAGTTCCAAAAAAAAATGCGTGAGATGGAGACAGAAAATTAGGTGAACGGACAAGATTATTCAGTCTGCAGGTACGTGGCCACTGAAAGCACTTGACTGGTTTGATTGGAAAAACATAGCACAGCCATTTGCCCTGCAGAGGACGTGTTTAGACTGATGGTGTTTGTGTGGAATATGAAAACGAAAGCACAGAGTTTGAATCTCTTTACTGCAAGATTTTCATGTTCCGAAAAAATGAAGTTCCCGGCTTCTCGTTGATGAATTTATAAAAAACAATGAGGGTGTTGAGTAAGGGTCGTAAGGGTTTCTAGACTGGCAACAGGGCTCGTCACCAATATAATTCTTCCGCAACAGTTGAGGAATGTTCACAAAATGTCTTGTGCTTTCATACGTGCTGGTAAATACAGAGACAGCACATCATTACACGATACAGAAACTACAATTGGGACGAGACACCATAGTAGAAGTGGAATGTTCAAGTAGATGTCGACAGCTCTGTAAAACACGCTCTTTCTTAACGCTATAAATTTTACTTAAAAACTTGCGAGTAAGGAAGCCAAAACAAACTAAACTGCGGTTTATATAACTGAGAGTCTGACCAAACCAACATTTTCAAAACAAGTTCTCACAAAATTTAGGGCTGAAATCAAGTTATCCTTCATTGGTGGGTCATTCCTTATCTTCGGTGATCGGACGAGAACTGGCGCATCTGGGTCATTCCTATTGAACGTTCCAGCCCGGAATTCAATCACCAGTGATACTACTGAAACAAAACATTGAGCGGGAGATAACTAACTGCATGAGGGCGATTTTAGTGAAATATGTTTGACCAAAAATTGGCTTGTTCTGGCGAAAAGCATAAGTTAGGTTGGGATAAGTTGTATGTAGTCTGCCTGTTGACGTTGTATAGGAACACATTACGTTGTATAAGGACACATTCTGTTTTAGAACATTCTATTCTCATATTTTGTTCTTGTGATGTCACAAACAATATATATTACTTTTTTTACGTACATTGGCTTGGCAGAGACGCAAAAAAAAGATGCAACTTCTGAAAGTTTTGTGAAACAGCCGCATTGATTAGCCGCAATTTATTTTCTTTTTTTACTACTCGACAGGGTATCACCTAAATATTTTTAGTGAATGTTAATAAACTCGTATTGAGATAAAAGCATGAAAAGTATAAAAAATCACCTTTTTAAGAAGGTCCATTAGTACCCTATATATCTAGCATCAAAAATAATTATCAAGAGGAATAGTCACTGAAATATATCGCATGACTCACACGCTCTAACATTGTCTCTTCTGTGCTGAAAACTTTTATTCACAGAATTTTGGTTTATGTGAATAAATATAATTCGTGCTTACAACTTGCCCGACGCTCATAAAAGGAAGCCCTTCCCATGGTTTTAGGCAAATCTTCCGATTTGTTGATAGTTTTTGATAGAGGTTTGTTACTTTAGACATCGTTGGTTTATTTGACCTAGTAGCCATGATGGCGAGGGACTCAACGTCGCGGTTTCTAGCGGCGCTAACAGTACCAGGTTCAAATTGAATACACGGCCACTTGCGGGGTTAAATAGAGTAACAATCCCACACTTCTTGTGCAGGAGAGTGGAGTAGGCCAGACCGCCGAGATTATTTCCGGTGCTCATGCCATAGCTTCCTAGTCTGTAGCCTTAGGAGGGCACACCATCATGGCAAAGTTCGTACGCATATAAAGACAGAGAAGAGAGAGTAGCTTGGTATTTATCATAAGTGGCAGGAGCTGTAGCAGTGTAGCCATAGGGATAGCCGGAGTAGACAGTGATTACGGGGTTAGCCAGGGCCAGCATAACAGACGCACGCACCTATAAGCACAGTAAAAGAAGTGGTAACAATATGAACCTAGTCGTTTGATCATACTTTGTGGTCAGAATATTTAGTACTAGATTAAACTGCATAAAAACACGAGCCCAGTGCGTGGCGAAAATATAGGTATACAACTATGCGTATCACAAGCTTTTGTTAACTATGAATATTCTGTAGCGTATTCATGAGACAACAGTTTCACTTTATTATACTACACGATTCCCATCTATTACTTGTCTTCTGCACGCTGTTCCCAACCGCCCTGCATGGCTTTTCACGATGCGTTTTATAAATATACACTCGCACATTTATTTTGCTTCTAAATCACGCTTTAGTATTCAAAAAGTATTCGAGTGAAGGCTGGGTAATTCATCCTTCATTAGAATGGAAAATATCCCCCTAATACTTGATAAAACAAATATTGAACGTGTCACGGAAGTAATTAACTGATGTATATTACGTCGGTGCGCTTTCACATTCTTGACGAATACGCAAATTTAGCACTCATTATCCATAAGATCTGTGTAAAGGCATCAATTTTTGTCCTTCGTGGCTTCGTTCACAATGTGAGCATGGATCAAGACCCCCTTTTTCCTAACGCGAAACGTTCTATGCAGTTTTCTTATTACGTCACAGCCGGCACGACCTTGTGCACGTGAGAATACATTTGGGCGGGAAAATCAACCCCTCCTGATTGTTCGTACATCTTGATGGAACAAGCGAAGTTCATGCTAGCCTGTGGATAGGTGCTCGAGCTCTTCATCTTCAAAAGGCCTCACTCTGTTTCAGTTTGGCGCTATTGCACATATATAGTGCTAAGTAAAAAAAAAGAAACAAAGCGGAGCCACAGCAGGCCTCATCGGCTGTGTGCGAAACTGAGGCTATTAACGATGCGGTCATCATATAGTGCACACGGTTCAGAAGGCACTCGCATGGCCTACGCTCTGTGAGGCAAAACGAAAACGCCGGGAACTGCAGTTGCAGCTAAATAAATGTGTCTTGCTAATGAACATTCATGGATGACAAGTACGCGGTTCTGAAGGTTGGCAGACAGAACGAGACTGAACAAAATTTTTTGCCACTTTACTATATTTGCAATCGACAAGGTTGAACCTGACGCAACATACTTCACGTGCACTGAGTAGAAAAGAATATAAAAAGTTTTCCACCGTCGCTGAAGCCTCGTTGTAGCCTTGGTCGCCTAAGACGGGATTTTCGGAATTGCGACTACACCTTTCTTCAATAACCGAGGTTGTTTCGGCAGTGAAGGAATGCTAATTTCACTCCTTTGGTGTGCACATTTGCGGCGAATTCTTTTCGACATGCTCCAAGGATTGGCGGCATTAACCTGGGTCCTGCTAAATACAACCATAGCAAGTAGGATTCGCTGCAAATAAACAATATGAGTGCTTACCAGAACCAGAGAACGTCGTTTCAATTATGCGGATTTCCAAGTTACACAGGACCGAATAAACAAGTGCTCAATGTATTTTCTTTGAGTGCTGCGAACTTTTGTTTCACTGTAAACATACCGTGTTCAAGACTTATAAGGGCTACATTCTAAAACATATCAAATTCCTCATTTCCTAACGTCTCGGAATAATTAGTGTTTCTTTCTGCTGTATTTTGTTTTCCTTTGAAAAGCCAGAAGATGCTTTTGGAATGAGAAATATTGCCGATTTTGCGCGGCATACTTTACAACAATATACAAGCTTTTCGCAAGTGGGAAACGAAAATGGCATATGCATATAGTAGCTCGCAATAAAGCTTACGCACAATTTACGGTAGAAGTGCTATGCTATTACCATGGTGGAAAATAACAATGATGTTCACAGCAGACACTGACTATTGTGACTAAACGACAACCCTTTTATAGCAAAAGCTCTGAGATTTGTCACTTTTTCAATGGACTGTACGTTGTTGTTGTTGTTTTGCACTTTGCTGAAGGAGCGTAAATGCGGCTCCACGAATGCAGTCCTACTTAAAACTGCAATGTTCCTAGCGTGGAAACAATTTTAACCGTTTTTGTCATGGTAGCCGTGAAGAATGAAATTGTTGCGTGACAGCTAGATGTCGGTAATAGTATTCAAGTAAGAAAATAACATGTCGCTCTCAGTCACGGTCTCCAAGAAAGTGTAATGGAATGAATATGTAAGTTTTTCTGTTATACCGTTGGAACAAAACCTAAGTTTGTGTGCATTGTGGGAATCAGCGTACATTGCTGATTCTGATTTCAAATAACTTCATTCTGAATAGTCAAACAAGAGAGATATACATGTTCTCTACCTAAATACTATACATATTCACTCATCTAAATAATGCTCACAAAAAGAATATGACTGTATATGGCCAGCGTAATTAGCCTCAAAAGGCTGAAAAGAAGAAAAATTGTACCACACATCAGATAATAATGACAACAGAAAATGCTGCAAGAGATATATATGGAATGTTATCAAAGGTAGGGGTTGTTTTTAGAAGCAATGAGGATGACCGAACGAAGACGTCGTGCCAGTGTTTTTGAGGTTTTGAAACACCATATTTACTGCTGCAATGTTGGTGCCCCAAAGAATGCTCGGACACTGTCAGAAATTTTATTTGTTGCACATTTTTCTCAAGAACCAGACAATGTTGGGCCACCACACAATTGAACGAGAAAGTATCCCCCTTTTGGAAATACGAGAGTGCTCTTTGTGCGGTAGTTATAAGACAACCTTTTTCACTATTCTCGTAATTACTGCGTGGTTGTTCCAAAGCAAGCATTTGATTTCATAGAAATGTTTGTACTTTTTAACAAAACATTCATGTAGAGCTTCGGCTACTGTTTTCGGCTAACCAGGTTATGCCATTTCACACACACAAAAAAAACTATGTGGTATTCGACCTGACTCTTTCTTGCGCTACTTCTTTACCCGTCAGCAAAACTATGCAATGGGCGAAAAATGGTTCGCGACTGCCTCAGTAAGCACGCGAGGCAAAGGCATCTTTTACAACCCGTCGCAACTCCCAAGACTGCCACCCTTCATATAGCAATTCATATGCTGAGAACTGGTACACAAATAGGTGCATGGGTGTATTCTTTCTGCTGAAAGTCAATTTAATGTTTCTCAGGATCGATCATGTAGGTAAGCCGTTGATCATCCGCCGCTTTAGTACACTGTCAGTAATACGTATAATCATCATATTTCTGATTATCGAACCCAGTGGTAAGCGCTTCTCTTTACCTGTGGAAGTAGAATACAAAAATACATACTTCCGCCTAAGCTGTTCCTCTCAATAAATAAATCAAGTGTTAAAAATGCAAGCCTAAGATTTTATAATTTTCACAATTTCTGTTTTGAGATAACAGCAGCACAAAGTGCGTGGCTAGGGATTATAGAAACATCTGCAAGAAGCATATATTAAAAATAACGGAAACGAATTGCAGCAATGAACAAAAACTTACATAAAATTATAAATAGCTGGTATACAAACCATCTTGAAACATAGTTACAATATGTAGTGAGAATGTGAGTGAATGATAATAATTAGGGCAGCACTTAAATAATTCACCGACAACAATTTTAAATTTTAATATAAATGTGCCATTGGGAATTTTTCGAAAGAAAGAAAAAGTTCAGTACTTCATAATTATTGCATTACATGCGGGGTTCAAAAACGTAAGCAAAATTCTTGTCGACGTTTCTTGGTGAAAAAATATGTTAAGTATTCGTAACGCACTATGGTTAAACTACACAGCCGCAGTAAAAATCCTCCTGTACCTGTGTAACCAAAATCAAGAGGAACGTTTGTTTATCGTCAACCATTTTAGTAACCCAGAAGTAGACATGTACAGCACATAAATGTGCTTGTTGTCTTACCCTTGAAATATTATAAAAAACATCGTGATTTATCTAAATTATATGCGCTAGAAGTATTTTGATTCGTCAGGTACTGCGGTAAGTGTCATCTTTCTATGCTGGGAATTTTTCCACAGCACTGCATAACAAGTCCAAGGCTAAAATTGTTACAAAAGTTTAGTCAACACTTATCAAGTACCATTGCACACGAGATACCCTAATTGTGCAATTAGGCCCTGCGAATAAATATGGTTAACATGATTTCAGTACATCACTGTGCACGTGTAAAGACCACACTGTAAAAGCGGTTGTCTGCATGGAGACGTATCAGTTGCTCCTAAGCACACCTGCTGAAACCTTATTCCATCATGGTAAGAAAAGGATGGTTGCGCTGAATAAAACGGAATATTTTATTAAGATCCGTTGCATAGAAGGGGAACTACTTCAGCATACGGTGAACATGCTGTTCTAAACGGGCCACTAGTCGGAGACTTGGAAGCTTTGCATTAGGACATATACTTAGCCGAAGTTTTCAAAGTTTTCAAACTATTCGATGATAGTTCAAAAGGAACAAAGATGAGATGTAAAATGTGTTTCACAACAAACTGACACATTGCGCAACGATGACGAAAACCATAAAAAAAGAAAAAAAGAAGGGACAAATATATCGAATAATTTGTTGTAAAAAAGTGAACCACCGGGCATCTCCATGAATAGGAACGGTCGCTCAACTTGTACTAAATCCTAGAGCAACGCAAAGCCTTGTCACTCTGATGTATATTGAGTTCGTTTGTACTTATGTCTTCCTCTATTTGCCATCTTTTCATCTGTTTTTCAACAGTTAGCTGCCATAACGAGCAGAAAACTACTCCGAGAGTTTAGGCAATATGTTCGTGCTTCAATGACAAAAAACAAAAATTGTCTAAAAACAGGACGCAGGAAAAAAGAGAGACTCACAGCGCTGAGCTTGTAACTTGCAACTTGCAAGTTCAGTGCCGCGTGTTTCTCTTTTGTCCTGGGTTCAGTGGCTATGCGCTGTTTTATATTTTTAATGGAACTTCACCGACGCGCACAATCTGCTTGTCTGCTTCTTTTAGTGGCTGTACTACTACACTACACTACTAGTGGTTGTACGACTGCTTCTGCTGTCTCCTTACCTTTGCCACGTGCGCTTTCGCTGTCTACACTGGCTATCCCTAGGGCTACTCGACAAATATGTAGGCGCTCCTGGCACAAACTGAACTTACGACGCTGCACTTGGTTTCCTCTCTTCATATGGCTGACTACGGACATGGTCATTGTGCACCAACATACGGCTACGGACTGGGAAGCTATGGTCTAAGCTGTGGGCATGGTCTGGGTGGGGCAGGCTATTTCACCTTTCTATACAAGAAATGTATGCTCTCTGCTATGTTCTGCTGCGTGATGAGGTGTCCAATTCATTTGCGCATAGCCTGCAAGAAGATTTTGTGTCACTGGTACACTACATTCACTTAACAAATAAGAACATTTTGGAATAGTTCTCATTACTGCGGTGTCGCGCTGCAGTAATGCTGAAAGGTCCACCGTGAACATAGTTGGAGAAGTATGTGACGGCGCATGCTATTTAAACTATTGGGCCCCTTTGTTTTACCGAATAGATAGGTTCGTTCATCACTGAAAGCCCGAAATTTCGATTTTACATGCCCGCCTGGACAATTTTTTGTGTTTTGCGCACGCTCACATAACATCCAGATGTCATAGTGTAGCTTTTGGTATGACAGGACGGAATAGCCTTTTGGCACTATTGTTTGACGCTTAGGGAAAAAATATTTGTCTAGGCAAGGAATATGTGAAATATGGCATTAAACAAATACTTTTTGTTTACCTTGAGTTTATTTCTCTCTTTTCTTGTTTTCAGAAATCTATTCAACGAAGATAACCACTGTGATTAAAGTGTTACAAGAAGAAACACTTTATATTAAAATGTCTTCGTACTGATCTTTGTCACTGTGTCTTTTTTACATGCGTCCTATTCGGTACGTGACAGAGAAGAAAAAAAAATCGGAATGCTTTCATCACAATTTTTGTGACAGATGGTTGACCAAACTAAATCATAGTTCGAACTTGCCGAAAGCTCTCACCACAATCTTTCACACCAGCATAAGGACACACTACCTAAAGACTTAGAAAAAAAAAATGCACGATACAAGCATACAATGTCTGCTCAAGTATGTTTCTGATCAGTACAGGCAAATCACTTATTGTGATCTTTGCAGTGGTATTTTAATAACTAGGTATAGTGTAATTGGCAAAACCTAATTTTTGATACTGCAGTTTTGTTTAGCAGCTCCTCAATGCAAGGTAGTGCTTAAAATTGATCATCATCAAGAGCAGAATAAGCAACCCATTGTGATTGAGATACTCAGTTCCAAAAATTTATCGTTATATATCGAGTATCAGTCAACATAAACTGCTTTTTGTTCACTGGAAACACCTTAAGGGAATGCTATGTACATCTTGATTGATTTATAAGTGGAGTTTGACGTCCCAAAACCACCATATGATTATGAGAGACGCCATAGTGGAGGGCTTCGGAAATTTCGACCACCTGGGGTTCTTTAACGTGCACCCAAATCTCAGCACACGGGCCTACATTTCCGCCTCCATAGAAAATGCAGCCGCCGCAGCCGGGATTCAAACCCGTGACCTGTGGGTCAGCAGCCGAGTACCTCAGCCACTAGACCACCACGGCGGGGCGCTTTGTACATCTTGCGAACCAAATTACAATGCAGTACTTCTTTGTACACTTTAAACCTTTGTTGTCAAAGTTACATCTTATAGGCGTAACCAAATCATGTATTACACCGCTCTTATCTCACCACGTCACGTTCCTGCATTTCTTGTTAACTCAAATATTCAGTATTTAAGAAAATGATACTAGTTACACCATTTCAAATTTTTTGAATAACGGCCTATAAAGACAATCACTGGTTCTGAATAGCCGAACTGCTTTCGGAGCTATTTTTATTCGGTGGTCTTCTTCGTGAATGTCGTCATTCATGAAATATGAAAACTTAGTAGATATACTACGCTTACGACAAAGTTGCTAGCTCACCAGGGAAAACAGTAGAGCTATGCAGAATAGTATGCGTCGTATATACAAGTTATAGCAGCAGGAAATTGAAGACTATCTTCAGGGCAAAACACTTAGACGGCTCGTGGGAAGGATCTTGGCAAAACGTTAGCGTGTTAAACGTAAAGAAACGGACAGTAGCACCTCCAATGCCCGAGCGCTCAGTAAGTGCGCTGTGAGATGGCCTCTTCCGAACGCGGTAGGCGCTGTATCGTAGAGCCAAATGCATAACGCAAGTTTCGTGCACAGCAAATTTTTTCTGCATAGGTTGAGAACAGCTCTTATCGTCCTGTAAGTAGTTAGTTGTTATGCATAGGCTGAGAAAGGCTCTTATGGTCTTGTAATTAGTTAGTTGTAATGCGGGGAGTAAGACCACCTCTTTCTTTCTGTGTCAAAGCAAAAGACGAGTGCCTAAGGCACGTGCTTGAACGAGCACCGTTATCAGAGTAAAACTGGCACGTGTGTTTTAAAGTAGTGGAGCAGAAACAACACGGCGCACGTTTTCAGAATTTAGTTTTTACTTAAAGCCGTCGCCTAGCATTTTTCAGTTTGTTAAGGGCTCTGGACGTCAAGGAAGCTGCAAATGGTGAGGATGATATGCCTAATCGATATTAGAAAATGAAAATGAGTGACACTTAGCTGTCGGACATCACGACGTGGGAAGTCGAGATGGTTTCCTGAAAACGAACGTCAGCGAATGGTACACTTCCTATTTGTCTTATTCGATGGAATTATTTATGAGAACTTGGCTTCCGAGGCGAGCGAAAAACCTCCTTGTATGGAACCTGTTTTTCAAGAGCCGCTGCCAGGAACGGTTGGCGAATATATTATACAGTCGCGCCCGGATCATCCCGACACTTCAGGAGCGTGGCTTTCTCCGGCTGCTTGGATGCACGTGCACTGAATTTCGTTGAATATTACTTGACATCTTCCAGGGAAGCGTAAAGCCTACAACTGAAGTTGGGTGAAAATATTCTTGAATTCGGTGTATATGCCTATATATAGCTTGATGGCAAATGTCGCTCCTGATGATTACGGTTTATATTGTGAAGAGCCTTACGTCTAAAAAAAAGACTATATAGCTTTGGTTTCAGTCAACTCTTGTTAGGTTTGAATATGGCGTATTGTTTTTATCAATATTAACGCTTTAAATTTTGTAGAGAAAGAATCTCTTGCTTTCATGAATGGTATTTCACGTAACTAGGACAACTTTTTTTGAGAAGAAAGCTATACATTGAGAGGAACTTTGTAAAGACTCGTGCACAAAGTCTGACATTGAGAGGGGAAACTTCTGGCAGAACTAGAAAGCGCCAAACAAAAGCACTGAGAGTACCGGCTACACCTATGAAGTTCTTAAACTACCAAGTCTTAAAATAGAACAGAAGTACAAAAAAATACGGGTACGGTAAATTCCTGCACGACCATTCATGTAGGTAGTTTGTGGACAGTCTAGAGTGAAATAGCGGTAAAAGCCTATCAATATGTCGTGTGCACGCGGTATTGCTTCGCCGTGTGTCAAGCGCCGCTGACAAGGCGATTCTGTATATTTTTGCTGTAACATCATTGCTGGTAGTTGACCCATCTATGCTTAGTTGTTAGCAAAAAAAAAAGCCATCTGCATTCATTCGCCTGTTCTGCTGTTCTTTCGTCAGACCCAACACTGGTACTGTACACGAGTTGGAGTAAAGGAACGGGAGCAATGGCGTGAAAAACTTGACACTTCTCGCGTAGCCACAAACTTTGTTTGAAACGGGGGTGGGAGTGATTTTGTCATACTTTATGTATGGTCGTGCGTATGTTTGCTCGTGTGCATGTATATATAAGCACTGACGCAAGCGAAATTCAAAATTTCTTGGGTGGATTGAACACTTAACCCTACACTCCACTTAACTGCACCACTGCTTCGCGTCGTATACTTCTCTCATACTGGCGGTGCCAGGTAATGATAATTGGTACAATACTGGTGGTATCAATACCACTCTTTTTGAGACCAGCGGGAAAGTTCTTTAGGTGTAACCACGCAACTGTCGAGACTGATACCGTTTGTAACGCACAATAGAACGGCTGGGGAGGGAGGGGTATTGGCAGTATAAAGTTAGGTTATGTACGATGGCAAAGCGAATTCCCCATATTACAGGAACTGTTGTTTGGAAAAGGTGTCGATACAGTGCACCTTCCTACGAAGACACCAACTCCGCTATTCTAGACGTGGCAACTCTGGTCGCAGCCGCTGCGCGGTATTGCGATCTGCGCTGAGACAGTTCTGATATGTGGAGTTTAACGTCCCAGAAGCACGATATGAATATGAGAGACGCAAAATCCGAGACAGTTCTGGCAGACTGACCAAACCTTACCACAGCACTGCCATTTACGGCTGTCAAGTCGACCGACGCATCGTAGTTGACAGGCCTCAAAAACGGTCCTATTAACCTGCGCTGCTTCAGTGGGATTGGAGGCACAGCAGCCTCCATGTTTAAAGAGCGCTGTATGCGATGAGTCGGGACCATAGCTCAGTAGAGTTTTCCATACTCTTAATGCTTTATGAGATATGGTGTGCATATACAATTGAGGAACTGATCTAGAAATATGTCGTGTGACGCCGTGTATCCAGCTGGCTAAACCTAAATCGCAGCCAACAAAATACAACACTTTTAACCATAAAGAGCAAAACCACACGATGTAAAAAAACATGAGTAATCTAATCGCATTGTATAACTCTCAGTTCAAGCGCACGAATAAACAGAAAGTAAGAGATGACAAGTGTCTGTCCTCTCTTCCTTTCTGTTTATGCGTGCGCTTGAACGGACAATTATACTATGCATATCCAACTAGCCCTACTTTCGATTTTGTTGTGATCTAACCACGTCAAAGTATAAGAAGTGTGACGGAAAATCATCAGGTGCATTGAAGCCTCGGGCCTTTGTAGTTGTGGTCAAAAGAGTTTTTAATCGCCTATGCTCTTACTTACAAGCAGGAGCTTAGTAATAAGACAGCTTGCATTCAGGATTCAGAGTAGCAGGAGCTTCAATTATAACACATTGTGCTACGTATATCTTATTTATTTTATTTTGTACAATACAGCAGAGAGTAGTACAAGCAAGAAAGGACGTACATTAACAGACACAATAAATAACGGGATCATAAATTTCTTCGTAGCAAGGGTGAAGAAGATATCAAAAATTCCATTTTGCAATTGTTCGACGGAAAAATGAATGTTTATATAAATCAGCTCTAGCGAATACAGGTTTGATGCAATGGCTGTGCCTGTGACGTGAGAATCGACCGATGTGTTTCGGAAAGTAATTATCATAGTTTATTCCGAGCATACCAAAATAAGCCGAATATGAAAAGTTTAAGCGTGACTGTTTTATTTTTCCATATATTGGCTCAATTCGGCCATCTATAGCATATATGACGGTGAATGAAGGTGTCTGAAACATTTGAAACAAATAATTAGGTATGAAACAAATAACACGCAGCAAGATTATTGCAACCAAATTTGGTTTATATTCTCGGTGTTTCATAGCCTAGCGGTTCGTTCTAGGCGGATGCGAATGAGTGAACAGAGATGTGCCTAAATAAGCTTTCGGCGCTTTAACATACGAACGGAATGGTAAGCAGATACTTTTTGCGACTCTATGCAATAAAGCGCGAAAAAAAATGAGGCCTAACAAAACTGCTTACGCATATACCAGGATGATTTGAAGGTGGAAACGAACTTCTTCTTTTTCTTTTAGGTCGTTGAATAACGGAATAGACAACACAAGCCACGACTTCACGTCCGGGGTTTGTCACCGCTCAAAGGAACATGGTAGAACGGCATCCTGTGGGGTTAGTCATATGACGTCACACCAGAATTCGTTAATC